TAATAATAAAAGAAAATGAAAGTTTCAAAAATTCAATGTTTTGGTCTTTCAGCTTATATTTCTACTTTATTCTGAACCTAAAAGAAAACAAACATTTGGATTCTGTTTTGAATAATACCACTGATCAGAAGACCTGGTGTCTACAACTTTTTTAAAAACAAAAAATTCAAAGAGCTACAGACAGGTGCAGGAAAATGGGGGAGGGCTGTTGATATATTGCTTGTCTTCTGAGGCCAAGAGGACTTTGCCTCAAGCAAGAGATCAAGGGAATTGGTTACATAAAGAAGTCAACCAGGTTTTGATTTGCATTTCTCTAACTGCTAGAGATGATGAACATTTTTTCATATACTTGTTGATTGACATCTCTGAGAAGTGTCAGTTCAGGTCCTTGTCCCATTTATTGATTGGGTTATTTGTTTTTTTCATGTTTGGCTTTTTGAGTTCTTTATAAACCCTAGAGATTAGTGCTCTATCTGATGAGTGAGAGGTAACTATTTGCTCCCAAGATGTAGGCTCTCTATTCACCTCACAGCTTGTTTCTTTTGCTGAGAAACTTTAGTTTGAATCCATCCCATTTATTTTTTAATTTTTTTTAATGTTGACATTTTATTTTTATTTTTACTTTTTTAGAGAATTTTAATATTTATTTTTTAGTTTCGGTGGACACAACATCTTTGTTTGTATGTGGTGCTGAGGATCGAACCTGGGCCGCATGCATGCCAGGCGAGTGTGCTACCGCTTGAGCCACATCCCCAGCCCTCCATCCCATTTATTGATTTTTGGTTTTAATTCTTGCACTATAGGAGTCTTATTAAGGAAGTTGGGGCCTAATCTTACATGATGATTAGGGCCTGCTTTTTCTTCTTTTAGATGCAGGGTCTCTGGTTTAATTCCTAGAAGTCAACCAGGACTGACAAATGCTTCTGGCACAGGAAATTAGCTCCTGTGGATACAAAAATGTAGGCATTTGCACAGGTCCCTTGGTGTGAGGTTGTAGTGAAACCTGATGTAAAAGTAGCAGCTGGTCCAGTCTCTCAAAATTATTCCTGGTCCTTGGGTGGTTGATATAAATCGTATGGTTCTAGAAAAAGTTGTCTAAGAATTTTGAGAGGCCAGGGTTGTGGTTTCAGGTAGAGTACTTGCCTAGCATGTGTGAGGCACTGGGCTCGATTCTTAACACCACATAAAATAAATAAATAAAAGTATTGTGTCCATCTACAATTAAAAAAAATATTAAAAAGTAATTTTGAAAGGTTGAGTGTCTACAAACTTACTTCTGTGTAATGGTATCACCAACTCCAACTATGGTTATCAAGACACAAATTTAGATAAACTCAGGGCAAAGAGTATAGCTCAGTGAACACTTGCCTAGATTATTTGATCCGAGTACAAGGAAAAAAAAAATCTATAAATCACTTTATTTATTTTTTTTAAGGAGAGAGAGAGAGAGAGAATTTTAATATTTTATTTCTTAGCTTTTTGGCAGATACAACATCTTTGTTTGTATGTGGTGCTGAGGATCAAACCCGGGCCGCGCGCATGCAAGACGGGCGCAGTACCGCTTGAGCCACATCCCCAGCCCTAGAAATCACTTTACATCAATTAAAGACAAGGCACAAAGTATGGTAGCCTACCTTAATATATTTAGGATGGGTGCCATATGGGGTGGATGGGTAGCAATGTTTATGACCTGCCTCCTTGCACTTCTACACAGCAGCCATCAGATTGCTGGTGTGGAATGAAGGAAATTAATGACTAGGACCTGGAATGAGAATTTAACCCCAAATTAGCCATAACTCTGCAGAATCGCCTTGTGAATATGCTGAATGGTCATGAGAGTATGCTGTCCGTCACTGAAGGACAGTAATATTTCTGGCCACAGAAGGAGCTCTCCTTCTTTTTTTTTTTTTTTTGAGAGAGAATTTTTATTATTTATTTTTTAGTTCTCAGCGGACACATCTTGTTTGTATGTGGTGCTGAGGAACCAACCCAGGCCGCACGCATGCCAGGCGAGCGCGCTACCGCTTGAACCACATTCCCAGCCCCAGCAGCTCTCCTTAGCTTGATGAATAGCTGTGGAATTTACTTGCATTCCTGAGCGTGAGTGCTGGTGTGCCTCCAGTACGTATACATATGTAGTATAGATAAGAATATTACATGCTTCTGGATTCCTTTTTGTGTTATTTCATTAGGTCAATAAAAATGGTTCCTTTTATTTACTCATACTCTACCTTTTACATGCCCTAGGGAAGTGCTTGGTTTTTTGTTTTATTGTTGCTGGGTTGTTTTTTGTGTGCAATGCTGGGGGTGCTGGAAGTCTTTAATTATTACTAGATCAGATTGTTTCTTTTCTCCTTTTTTTCAGGTACTGGACAATGAACCTAGGAGTGCTCGCTCTATCACTGAGCTATAGAGCCCTAAGCCTTTTTGAGATTTGATTTAGCTAAATTGTCCAGGTTGGTCTCCTGACATGGCACTCTGTATCTGCAAATTTAACAATTTTAATAAAATTACACATGAAAGGAGGAAAAAAGTTTGCTTAAGTCACCTAGCACTGTATATATGGTTACCTTTCCTTTCCTTATATAAGATTACCTAGTTAAGTTTTTCATCCCATATCAAAAAATGTAATGAATGGGCTGGGGTACAGCTCAGTGCAGAGAGCATGCAAATTGTGATAAAGAGCCAAGAGTGGTGGTGCACACTGGTCATATCCCAGTAACTGTGGAGGCAGACAAGAAGAGCACAAGTTTGAGGCCAATCTCAGAAATTTAGTGAAATCATCTCAAAAAAAAAAAAAAAAAAAAAAACAACCTGGGGCTATAGCTCAGTGCAGTGGTAAAGCTGGTTTAGGACTAGCCCAGGCAACCTAGTGAAGGACACCTCAAAAACAAAAGTAATAAAACCCCACCCCCACTATTTTAAACCAAATGTTTACTAGTGGAACTACAAAGTGAAATAAAAAGAGACAACTAAAGGTAAAATAGATCTTTTATTCATTTGTACTTAAATTAGCCAAATGGGTACTGATTTATCAGAATGCGACTAAGTATAAAATATCTTAAGTATCTTTCTACAAATATTAATGAGCAAATTAGGCATTAGAGTAAAATGAGAGTCCAAACAGGTGGAGGAAATCAATGAAGCACATTATGTAGCTTAACCCTCTACTCTTCACCTCAACAACTGCCTTTTTTGGTACCAGGGATTGAACCACCCAGGGGAACTCAACCACTAAACCACATCCCCAGCCCTTTTTATACTTCATTTAGAGACATGGTCTGAGTTGCTTAGGGACTTGATAAGTTGCTGAGGCTAACTATGAAGTCACAGTCATCATGCCTCAGCCTCCTGAGCCACTGGGATTATAGTGTGCACCACCATGCCCAGCAACACCTGACTTTTTTTTTTTAAAGAGAGGAGAGAGAGAGAGAGAGAGAGAATTTTTAATAACATCTTTGTTGGTATGTGGTGCTGAGGATCGAACCCGGGCCACACGCATGCCAGGCGAGCGCGCTACCACTTGAGCCACATCCCCAGCCCAACACCTGACTTTTTAATAAGTAAAACCTTCCAGTAGCAGAAAGTGGAACTAATCCTTCTTATACGTCTTTGTACTTTTTTACTTCCTATTCTTTTTTTTGTAGTTAAATTTATTTTTATTTTTTTATTGGTTGTTCAAAACATTGCAAAGCTCATGATATATCATCTTTCATACATTTGACTCAATTGGGTTATGAACTCCCATTTTTACCCCAAATACAAATTGCAGAATCACATCGGTTACACACTCACATTTTTACATAATGGCATATTAGTGACTGTTGTATTCTGCTACCTTTCCTATCCCCTACTATCCCCCCTCCCCTCTCCACCCGTCATCCCTCTCTACCTCATCTGCTGTTGTTCAATTCTCTCCCTTGTCCCCCCGCTTTCCCCTCACAACCTCTTCTATGTAATTTTGTGTAACATTGAGGGTCTCCTACCATTTCCATATGCTTTCCCTTCTCTCTCCCTTTCTCTCCCCCCACTCGTCTTTGTTTAATGTTAATCTTTTCCTCATGCTCTTCCTCCCTGTTCTGTTCTTAGTTGCTCTTTATATCAAAGAAGACATTTGGCATTTGTTTTTTAAGGATTGGCTAGCTTCGCTTAGCATAATCTGCTCTAATGCCATCCATTTCCCTGCAAATACTTCCTATTCTTAAGGTTAAGATTCTATATCCTAAAGACATCCAAACTAGGGGCTGGGGTAGTGGCTCAGTGGAAGAGTGTTTGCCTAGCATGTGTGAGGCACTGGGTTCAATTCTCAGCACTACATATAAATAAATGAATAAAATAAAGGTCCATCAACATCTAAAAATAAAAAATAAAAAAAGATATCCAAACTAGTAATAGTTCTTATCTGTAGCCAGAGACATCTTGTCTGTAGCAAGCAAGGCTATTAAAACTTCTTTAGGCTGGGGCTGGGGCTCAGCACTAGTGCCCTTGCCTGGCATATGTGAGGCACTGGGTTCAGTTCTCAGCGCTGCATATAAATAGATAAAATAAAGGTCTATCAAAAACTAATATATATATATATATAAATCTCTTTGAGGGCCGGGGTATGGCTCAGTGGTGGAGTGTTTTCCTAGCATGCATGAAGCCCTGAGTTTGATCCCCAGCACCATATATACACAAAAACTTGTTTTTGATGAGTCTCTAATCAGACTCAAAATCCTCAAATTGGCACAGTAGCACAATGAGAACCAGGCTATCAAGCAGAAAAGTATACAGCTACAAAGTTAAAAACAAAAACAAAAACAAAAATCGGGCTGTGGTTGTGGCTCAAGTGGTAGAGTGCTCACCTAGCAAGTGTGAGGCACGGGGTTTGGTCCTCAGCACCACATAAAAATAAAATAAACATATTGTATCTCCTAAATCTAAAAAATAAATATTAAAAAAATCCTTCAAGGAAGGAATTGAGCCACTGCCCAGACCAAAAATGAATCATGTACCCATCCTTACATATTTTCAGACTGCCTGTTAAGAGAGTAATTTAGGAATAAATCCATGGATTGTGGAGTACTAAAATACCTATGGCTTTCACCAGTGATTGCCAAGGTGGTCTCCAAATCACTGGCAGGAAAATTTTGTTGGAACTGCATGGAGGGCTGCAGAGATTCCTCTCCATAGTTATAGAATGAATTGTTCCAGGTCTGATTGTTCCAGGCCTGATTGTTCCAGGATTGGGTATACCAGGTCTGAGTATTCCAGGAGTTGTTGCTCCAAGACTGGCTATTCCAAGACTGGCTGCTCCAAGACTGGCTGTTCCAGGTCTGGTTGCTCCAAGTTGGGTTGTTCCAGGTCTGATTGCTCCATGGTGGAAGGTTTCCAGGTGAATTAACCTGGTACCCCTGGTTATAATTAGAGTAGGGACCTGAATATTCAGTGGGTAGTGAGCCCTTTGAAAAGAAAATGGTGGATTTAATCTCATGCAAATCAAAGGGAGATGAGTAGAGTAGAGTAAAGGGACCAGGGGGAGAGAAAGGGAAAATACTTGGAAATAATAGTGGCTAAAATTATATTGGGTGCCTGTATGAATATGTAGCAACAAATCCCACCACTATGTACAAATGTAAGGCACCAAAAAATATGGGAAAAAATAGTGAGTTGACTCAAGCGGTTTAAGGAAAATAACTAACTGGAATTGTACGCTTCAGAAATGGAATAAAACTAAAGGATCATCAAAAGGAAAGACCAGCCGGGTGTGGTGGCACACACTTGTAATGACAGTCCCATGGGCTCGGGAAAGGCTGAGGCAAGAGAATCATGAATTCAGAGCCAGCCTCAGCAATTCAGCAAGGCCCTAAGCAACTCATAGAGACCCTGTCTCAAAATAAAATACAAAAAAAGAATTAGAGATGTGGCTAAGTAGTGAAGCGCCCTGGGTTTAATCCATAGTATCAAAGGGGGGGGGGGTGGAGAGGAAAGACCAGATAAAATTTCCTGTTACCTGAGTCACACTATTGCTATTCTT